ATGGATGTATAGGCGTATATATAGCTATACAACTGTTTAGGTGCTACATAAATTTCAAAATATTAAGATTATTACGAAAGATCATTTTCATGTACGTGTTTTATTATAATTTTTAGYAATTCGTATTTAAAATGGGGAATATTATAAGAAAATTAAAAATTGAAAGTGAAAATCGTATAGATTCCAATTATGAATTGATATAGGCATGCGCGTAATCATATRAAAAATTAATAGGATTTAAATGACTTAGGATAAAACCATAAAACACTACTAGAAAACGCATCAAAATTTTTTTTTTKATTAAAACCAAATTTCTTATAACTTGATTGGTATTTTAGTGTATACACCTTTAGTCTTTATTTCCAGACCAGTATGTGAAGCACAAAATCATCGACGTGTTCATCGAGCGGGAAGACGGTAGTCTCGGGATAGTACTGCGTGGTGGAGCACATCCGGATCCTGACATGTGCAAGCCGTTGACTGTGACGCACGTCAGACCTGACGGACCTGCCGATAGGTTAGTACTTATTAAAACTGGAATCGTTGTTCAAACTATGTAAATTGATGATAAATTAATAAAATAATAACTCATCATTCATAATAATAATTAATGTTATCATATGATCAATGAGTATAGAGTTCCCAGGATTTTTCAATGTGAAGGAGGAGGAGTGGCTAAACAAAGTAAATCAAAAATCTGTTATACTATAGGTCGTTATAACTTAATCTCGTGACCATAATAACCTCCAMAAATAATTGATGATACGCAAAATATTTCTTAAAAACCGTTTTCAGAAATACCATGGTTTGTACTTAATACGGTCAATGCGACTGAAAGCTCCTAATATAATTCCTTTCACTGGGTGTCTGCAGGGTACGACACTATATATGCTCAGTGATCTAGCATGGATCCGGACTATTCAGTGATGACATGTTTAGGATTTACTTTGGGAGCTTCGATAATAGTAAAAAATGTATCAATGGACTTATATGACAAGATGAATATAATGAAAACAATTCGTTCCAGCTATTTATTAACCAATCAATAATAATWATWATTATTATTAATTCTATATAACAAAACAGATATTGTAATAAATAAAAAATAATAAATAGTAACTATTACTTATTAATTATTAATACTAAATCTGAAGTAGTGAAGTATGTAATAAATGTCGACTAGTGAAACTCAATAACAATTTATATTGTACTCTGTGTGCCTGGGTATGTCCCAGCCAAACTAAAGTGACTTTCAACGTCATTTGTTTAAAATTTACATTACCTTTTTTCTACCACTTCTACTAGTTCTACTACATAATGCTCTTTTCATTTTTATCTAATATGTTATCACACATTACAATAAATGCTAATTTTAATTTTATCCTTCAAATTGGTCTAAAACATTATTTGGTAGAGCCTTATACAGTTACACATCATGATACATTCTTCTATTAATTTCTGTTATTATCATTATCATTATTTGTTATAGTACCTATATATATTTTTTATTACCTATTACTTATTAGTTATTAGTGCTTTTTACCATTATTATTTTCTACTTAGTTTTGTTTCTGTTAAAATCTCATTGAATAAAAAAAAAAAACAGCCAGCCACTAATAATTGCTCAATAATTTATTTTTTCTAACTGGTCGTGGGAATACCATAAACACAGGGATTTAAGCGAGGTACAGTCAATTGATCAACTGCGATTGGCATGAAATTTATCGAATTGAAGAATACATGAATTACCTTCTCATCTAATATTAGATTCAATTTTTCTAATAATATTATTAGAAAAATGTTGATGGTAAAAACATGCATTTAAGTTAAGCATTTTATTATTTTAAATTTTTTTTAAAAATCAATTTTTTTTGAAGTTATTAATTTTAACATAGGTAATAATTTTTTTTCAAAATATTCTTCTGGGGAATTCTCGGACTTAAGTAAATCTTAAATTATTTACTATATAAATATCATGATATTCATAACTTTTTCATACATTTATAACTAGTATAAATTTTTTTTTTATTTATCAGGTATTTATATTCTCCTTATAGTTATAGTGTATCTTATATCTACAAATTAGGTTATTAATTTAGTGAAATATAATTTATGCTTAATACATTGATTTATTTTTAGAGAAGGCACAATTAAGGTTGGTGACCATTTATTAGCCGTCGATGGTATTTCATTAAATGGCTTAATACTGGCTGACGCTGATGCAATACTCAGACAGTCGGATGGAGCATGCCGATTGACCGTTCGATACCAAGTTTCGGCTGCGGATCGAGTCGGTAATACCACTTGTCCAATGTTGGTTGAAGTTGAAAGTCCAAGACCCCATCAATTAGGTCTAACTTTGACAAACACAATCAATAATAGTGCAGTCGTAGTCGATCATGTAAAACCTGGTAGCATTGCCGAGCGGTAAGCATCTTATTATTCGTACTTATACCTTTGATCATTGATCCTTGTACATATTACAATCAATATCAATATATTGGAACAAATTTCGTATAGTCTWAACTGGTTATCTTTAACACTCAAATATACTAATTATATACTTCACACAATACATATTACCGTGGTATGAAATTATACTTTGTCGAAGATGTGGTGCTTTATTTCCGGGTGATCAGATAGTGGCCGTAAATGACACAAGGGTGGCCGGCCTAAGGACAGCGGCCAGTGACGTATACAAACTACTACGAACATGTGGAGGCGCTCAGTCCACTCTCAGACTAGAAATAATACCGGCATTTACCACAGACTTAATACATGCAGATTGTAAGTGCGACTGTACTCAATGTATATAATTAGTAATTACTAATTACTTATTATAAATATTTCATATTTGAGTATTGAGTGTATTGTCATGTATAATTGTTTTAAAACGTTATTTGTCAATGTTTTGCTAAAAAATATAATCTATACATAGGTATTTCATTTTTTAGTGTAACCGTAATTCTATTGGGTTGTTTTCACTAACCAATAACAATGATAGTTGATGTATTAAACATTAATCCACTTGGCTTTCCAAATATATATTGCACTGCAATTCATATTTTCGTATTAAAAATTAAGTTATTGTATACAATTATTGGGTACTAACGTAAATAAGCCTTGAGAGGGTGCTGGGAATTATCCTTATCGCATTCCTTTCAAATATTACGCCACTGATATTATATAGGTATATAACTGTATAAGTACCGATATTTATGTAATATTATAATATATACCCGTTTATAGATTGTTCGTCATACGATTCKCGTCAACATTTATACTCCGTATACGAAGATCCCATCGATCCTGTAGTTTGGGAACCAACAGAAACGCGTAAGATTATTTATTACAGAATATTCACGTAGACTTTTTTGTCTGATAGTTATAACATATTTTAAAAATGAATACTTTAAATGTTATCAAAATTGGGTTGTGTATAGATAACGTAGTACGAGTAGACTACAATATATTGACTTTGGTGGCCGACGAAAACGGTCGGTTCGGAATGGACATTCGATCGAATAACATGGCACTTGTTGTTTGTTATATTGAACCCGGAGGACCCACTGACAGGTGCTTTTATTTTAAATGTACTTTTTTTAYTGTTTAAATTAATGTATATTTTGTTTTTCTAGAACCGGTTGYGTGCAAGTTGGCGATCGCATACTGTCTGTAAACGGGTGCAAGAGCACCAGTTTCGTGCCTTTATACCAGCAACCGCTGCACGATTTTTTAGGACCAGAAGTAAAAAATGCATGCATTAAGGTGGAGTTTGACATAACTGACTTTGTAGTTCCCACGTCGGGAGAGTTCACAGTGAAGTTACTRAAAAACGACTATAGAAGTCTCGGAATCACGATAACAGGTATAATAACTGTGAATGTATACTACGTACAATAATAATATACTCAGGTACAATGTACAATATTGTACAATGACTAAATTTGTTTTTATAGAGTAAAAGTGGGAAAATCCTTCTTTAAAAAAAAATAGATATATTTATTTGTTCATGCGCCTGCATTTGTTATACTATTGGTCATATTGTATTGATCGGTGCTTATATATATTATATTTTATAGACGATGGTAACGGGCAAGTGTGTATTTCGGAAATCATACCTGGCTCTATAGCTCATCGGTCGGGCACATTAAAAATTGGGGACACTTTGTTGGCTGTGAATAATAAATCGCTAAGTGATTGCACTAGACAAGAAGCAAGTAGTATACTCCAAGAAGCTGGTGATGTGGTGACGCTGCGAGTACGAACTTCCAATACAACGATAGGTAATATACCTCCTATTGCTTATAATTTTATTAACACTTAAATAATATGCAATAATATACACCTAATTTTTCTAATTACATATAAACTATAGTCGTTGTTCAATTTAAGACACTTGGATTTCGATGTTAAAATACTATAATAAAAAATTGTGTATTTAAATATTTTCAATTTTTATGAAAAAAAATATTCACAGATTAATAACCATTATTATATTTAAATAAATTTAATTTTTGTGGATATATCAGTAATTTAAATAAAAGTGTTATCATAAAAATGATACTCTTTTTTTTTAGATTCTGAGTGGAGCGAGGTAGGTATTGGTTTTACAATTATGTTTATTTTTTTTTTATTCTGTAAACACTTTTTCTCCCTCAAAACTTGCTTTAAAGTATCAAGTGTAGCATCTTTTCTGAAAGGTAATGTCCTTTTCGAAACGGTACTCGTAATAAAAGCGGTTAAAGGAGAAAAAACGTACGATTTCATGATTTTACAATATTAAATTATTACAGACGACGTTTTTTATTTTTTTGAAATTATAACAATATACCTAATTAATATAGTATAACATATCATAGACTGATAAACCGTCGTCACTCAGGATCGTTTTTTGTATACAATGATATTACATAATTAAATTCAAATTTAATACCAGCCAATAGGTACAGTAACCCACTTGTAACCTACTGTACTGCAGTGCGACATCCACTTACTTACCCGTTTTTCAATTATTAGATTTCATTGATTTTATATTTATTTGCCTAGTTGGATAGTTAAACCATCTTTAATGGAATGTGTTTTTTTATTTTTAAATGGAATTTCATATCTTTATATTATTTGGGTAACTTTTTTTTTTAACTGCCTATGGCATCTTTATTTAATCAACGAAAAGTCTTTATAAGTATAATACATTGGGACTAAATTTGATAATTGATGTACAATATGATAATTTATGTAAGTATTACTTATTGGGTAACTAATAAAAAAAAAAATAATAATAAACGTTAACATAACTTCGTGTTTATGTTTCTATTTATTATTTATTGTGCTAATTTATATTACGTAGACATACCTATATACGCTTTGGCGCTGTTAGATTAAGAACACATTACTCTAAATTAAGCATTCTTTTATTAATTATCAGTATTCAGTTTCATGTTTGTCATTTAAATAATATTTTTAAACAACATATTTATCAATATCACAAAYAAGAATTTTATTTCGTTTAACAAATATAATTATCCTTAATTCTAATACATTTTAAATTAAATTTATTATTTTAATATATATTTTGACCCTAATTMTGTGGTAATAATTGTATTTGAAAAAACAAATTTATTTCATATTTATTATCTTTTTAAAACGTTGTCTTACTATTATTTTATTTTTTAAATTTAAATTAAACGAAATTTAATATGGATAGAGCATAAACATTCCAAACAACTAATATAAGGAAAATTGCCTTAAAATTAAAAAAAAAAATTTTTAAATTTACGTAACATATAATTTAGTCAAATTAAAATTGTATATTAATTTTTAGTTGTGTTTAGTTGTCCTTAAGTATATACATTTGTTAGATGTTAGATTTATTTAATTTTTTGTAATAATTTAATATTATATTTATATAATGTGTGTGTCAAGATGCAACTAGAGATACAATGTAGGAGGAGTTTATAAAATTGGGTAACGGTTATCGATAATCTTTTTGTACAGGTTATGTTATGTGCAAGCTTGGTCTAAATTATTTTTATTGCTAAGAATATTTATTCGAATTATTTAATAAAATCTTGAGGTGGGTTTTTTCGAGTGTAAAAGTTGGGTCGTAGCAGTACCTAATTTTATTACTTTTATTTTGAATCCGGAATATGTAGTCGAAAAAGAAGTATTAAAGTATTTTGAATACATTTAAGAAAATATATTCTGAATACATATTCAAATACTAGAAAAAGTATTCATTACTATTAGAATATATATTTTTCCCGCTAATATTTATCAGTTTTGAAATGGTTGGAAATTAACGTGAATTAATCATATTTCATTCAAAGGTAAAAACCATTATTCATAATTTAAAATGTGMTTGATATATTTAATAGAAAAATATGTTTCGTCACAAATATAAACAATTTTTCGAATAAAAAATTAAAAAATACAAGAAAAATTATTCGGTATACGTAGGTATTTGAATAATTTATTCAAAAAGTAAATAGTAATCAAATAAAAAAAAAAGTATTTGAATACTTTACAAGACTGGGTCCTGGCGTATTTTAATGAATACCTATACATATAAGTTGTGTTCACCAATTAGCGTTACACGCCTAGGCCCGGGAGGCACCACGCCACCACGTAGAGGTTAGGTAGAAAGTCCATCGAATATTTTGTTTTACCTTTACTCTGATTATCCTATCGTAGTGCGGTGTGTTCATTATTAGTGGGTTTTTAAACATAGTGATCTATGAAAAACGTAGTATAAAAATTGCAATTGCATGGATTCAATTTATGATTATTTGATTTGGCTTATTAGATGATTATGAAAACGAAGATGATTTGGTTCAGTACACAGTAGAACTATACAAAAAAGGAGAACCGTTGGGTATTACCATCACAGGTTCAGAAGATTCCCGCTTACCGATTTCTATACAAGAATTATCACCAGGTATCAAAAGTTACTAAAATATTTTATTAATCATTAGGTTCTGATTAAATTATTTTAAGAAATTACATATTTAGTTTTGTTTGGTTGTTGATTGTGGAGTTCCAGAAATAAATAACCATATTWAAATTAAATTAAAATTTAGCAGACTTTAACCATGTAATATTAAGTTTAAGTTTAATTTTCATGATTGGCTAAAAATTTAGTAACATTTAATTGTATTCTAAACAGTTAAGTTATTTACTCTTAAGCTCATTAGTTGAGCGTTTTAATTTATTGAAAAGTTTTATTTAACATTGTTGGTAAGTCGTAAATACCTACATAATTTTATTGGATTCAATAATATTTAGTATATCTAGTTTTCGTATTATGCTAACGGAAAATTGGGGCTCACAATACAGATAAAAATCACTATATCAAAATTCGTATCGTTAATATAATAGTTACGGTTATTACATATTWTTATACATACACGATACACGAAACATCATACACGCAAGCTATAACCGTTATAAGACCTAATAACAACAACATAAATATTACAGACATACAATTGTTATGTTTTTTGATTTTATCAGATGTATAAAATTCATTTTTTTAYAAAAAAAATAATAACATAGAATTATAGATTATAATATGATAAAAAAATAGATTTTATTTTTATTTTAATGAATGGAGATTCACCACGCATGTTCCCCTCATCTTTTTTTTTCTTCAATGATATGCACTTGCTAAAATTTATTTTTTTAATTTTTAAATATATTTAAAAATCATACTTCCAAATTCTTAAGATTTTTTGTATGACTTAAGGAGAGTCCTGTGGAGATACAAACTTCTGTTTAACGAATGACAACATCCATTTTCTGCTGTAAATTAATCAGTGAATAATTTTTCTAAACATTCTTACGTATCAAAATCAAACTTCAAACTGGCAGTCTTTAAGTTACTTACCTAGTGTATAATAACGATAATATGTATATCCATGATAATGGATTTGAAAGATATGGGAATATAATACGATAGTTAATATTACTCTATCAATATTTATAATTTATAAAAATGGCCAAAGTATAGTAAATCCAATAGGAAATATTATACAAATTGCATAATAATTATATTTTATAATTTTGTAAGACCATTTTTGAGAACTTGATATTTACTTACTTACTTATAAGTATTAAAATTTTTATAACTGATAACAACTCGTTYAAAYTTTWAATTAGGTCAAAATGTTCAATAAATATTATTTATTAATGTATTATCTCATATTCTCATTAATTTAAAGTATAGGTAAAAAGCGGGGTTTTTAATTGAAAAACGTAATTTTTTATTTAGAAAAAAACACTCCTTTTGTAGTTAACAAAATTCAAGAATTTAAACAACTAAGTATTGCTTTCATTGTGACGTGCTGTATTGCCTGTATTGTGCTACAGGTGGATTGGCCGACCGGACAGGCGCTATACACGTGGGTGACCGTCTGCTGGCGATCAACGGCGCGGACTTGTCCGAGGCACCGCTGTCCACGGCCATAGCACAGCTRCAGAACACCGACGATCGAGTGGTGATCACTGTTTCGCGACCACAACAGCGGTCGTTGTACACCAGTGCTGGTATGTTGTCCGGGTCCACCGCGGCTGCGGAAGACTCGGCCATCGAGTCGGACACATGTACCCGGTCGGCGCCCAACTTGCATGAGCCGACGCCCGACCGGATTGTGTTCCGGCATCGGTCCAAAAGTGCTCAGAGGAAGGTGCCGGAGTTCGACAGCGACTACTTCGGTGGCACTCTCCGCCCGTACTATATACGCGAGCACGCCGACTACGATATCGATAGTATATTCAAGATAGCCGAGAACCAGGACAGGGACGGGCTGCTCGATTTCGACCTGTTCCAAGTAAGCTGGCGGCCATTCTGGTGCAAAATCGTACATTATTAGTCAATAAATAAACTTATCGTTTGACAATATTATATTAGCCACGAATCAATATAATAAGTTCCCAGTTGCAGGATTTCGGCCTGTTTTACATTTTATATTATGAGCGATTGCGTAAATTCCACCTATTATAATAATA